GGTTTAGATGGGGTATACAAGGAAAGATAACCAAATTCACAGATGATACAAAACTGGACAGAATAGCAAACACCCTAGAAAACAGAATGAAGATCCAGGGTGATCTTGATAAACTTGAACAGTGGGCTGAAACCAACAGAATGAGATTCAATAAGAACAAATGCCAAGTCCTCCACCTAGGAAAAAGAAACCAAAGGCATCAATACAAGATGGGGAATATGTGGCTCAACAGAACTAAACAAGAAAAAGATCTTGGAGTAATTGTGGACAATAGGCTAAACATGAACCAACAGAGTAGACATGCACATGGTGGGCATGTCTTGAGCAGAGCTGGCTGGAACTGGAAGTCAGACTAGATGGCCCGGAAGACCCCTTCTGACTCGTTTTGTTTCTATGTTTCTAACAATGCGATGCAGCAGCCAAAAGGGCAAATGCTATTTTTGGAATGCATTAACAGAAGTATTACTTCTAAATTATGAGAAGTAGTAGTTCCTCTTTACTCCTCACTAGTCAGACCTCACCTGGAATACTGTGTCCATTTCTGGGCACCAAGATTTAAGAAAGATGCAGGTAAATTAGAAAGGGTCCAGCGGAGGGCAACAAAAATAATTCAGGGTTTGGAAATACTGCACTATGAGGAGAGACTGAGGGAACTGGACATGTTCAGCCTTGAGAAGAGAAGACTGAGGAGCGACATGATATCCCTCTATAAGTACCTCAAAGGCTGTCACAAAGAGGAAGGCCAAGATCTCTTCTTGCTAATGCCAGAATGTAGGACACAGAATAATCAATTCACGTTGCGGCAAACCAGATTCAAGCTGGATATCAGGAAGAGCTTCCTCATGGTCAGAGCAATACAACAGTGGAACAAGCTGCCTAAACAGGTGGTGGGCTCTCCCACACCAAAGGCATTCAAAAAGACAGCCATCTGAGTGGGATGGTGTAACATGGTGTCCTACAACAGCAAGGGGTTGGACTCGATGGCCCCATGGCCCCTTCCAGCTCTTCTATTCTATGATTCTATGAAAGCCAAGCTATGAGAGAAAAAGGAAGCTTGACATATATATCAAAGCTCACTAGAATAGGGATCTTCCATACCTAAGCATCTTCCATATCAGGTCCAAAACCATCTTCACAGCTCAGAAATGAAGTGGCTAGTACATGATGAAAATCTTGTGAACCCAACTTCACACACTCAGAGTTAAAGGTCTGCCCAACAAAGTACACTGTAAACAAGATGGCTCACATTAGACAGCAACATCTCACCATACTCACCAAATCTAGGCTGCTTGCTGGAACAGATTAACTCAATCTGTAGCATTCACACAACCTTAGGCCAACCCAATAACATAGGCCAGCTTTTTTTGCTTATCTAGGAATAAATCCTAGATGTTGGTTATCTTCTCAATAACCAACCTGGAATCTACCAGCAGCATTTTGAAAGCCAGTGGGCTTTTGGCATAACACTTGGCATACCCCGCCTGGAAAAGGGAGTAGCATAGCATCTATCCTCCCTTCTTGTATTCCAGCTAGTTCTCCCACTACCACATTTTAAATGTAATGCCTTTTAAAGTATACTTTGAAGAGGAACTCTGTGTGCTGCCTGAGTGACTCTCAGCTTCACTTGTCAGCATATATAAGCCCATGCAGTACGAAGACCTCATAGGTAATCAAGTCCTGTTCTCCTGCTCAGTGCATAAAGTACAGTACTTGATAAAGTTACAGATGGCTGTCCAGCTATTGCTTAAATGCACAGCTCCAGTTTCTCATCCCAGTTCTCTACTACTCAGGCAGGGGGTCACTTGTAAGCTGTATGCACTGGTGGCACAGGGTGATGCAAATTCCTTCCTGTAGGGATTCCAGGATTATGTTATTTACTGGAATTACTAATAGGTAAGCCACATCTCAGGGCCTTGTGATTTAAGTGATTTGTGCAAACTCTTAAAGGATACATTTGCCCCCACCCGCTGCTTGATGTTCCCACTGTGGCTGGTGGCTGCCTCCTGTCTTAGGTGTGAGCTGTGGAACTGTCATGGCCCACCCTTGCAGCAGCCAGGGCAAGGAATGTGTCCACATTTTTAAGGAACACAACTTATGTTCCCAGCTTTATGAGGCAGACAATGAAACAAAGACAACACAGTTCCCTACCAAATATTTTCTTTTCCACTGTTATCATTGAAGGCTTTACAAGTATTTTCTTTGCCTAATATCTTTCTGTTACGCTATGTTGGCAGAGAAACAGGCTGCTTACTCCAAAAAAGTCCTTGTGAGCATTAAAATATCAAAACTCCTTGAGAAGGTTCTGTTTGTGTTTCAACAGAGATGAAAAAACTTTTGGTTCTGTTGTCAAATGCTGCTCTGTCTCATAATAGTAGAGATTTTTTGAAAATATTTATGGCAGGATTGACTCATGAATCTAGGAAAACAGAATGTTGCATCCCAGCTTATATGTGTGTCAATCATTTCATCCCATATCATGGGGATTTTGGAGCTCCTGTGGTTCACATTCAGTAGTGTACCTTGCACATAAGGTGGCCTACAGTCTACTCCTTTTAGGGCATGGTCACAACTTGCATAGTTAAAAAAGTCCCAAAATTTTAACTTCTTGTCTTTTATAGCTTTCTTTCATAAAATGAAATATGCCCTGAAGTGAAAAGGACCCCCTCAAATCTGCATAAGAATAGTTTTGCAGGGAACTCTCATGACCCCCACAAAAGAAAATAAAAGTACAAAAGAAGGATAATTGAAGATTATCTTAGTGTCTTTTGAAAATCAAAAGTCTGAGCTAAAACCTTTACACATAACAAATTAAAATCTATTGAGGGAAAGCTTTTTCATATTGGTTTAAAGACTGTTGGTGAAACTATTGCTATACAAGGAAAGTTTTTGCAAATTTTATTGAAATGCATAGGCTCAAGTATAAGTAAAACTTAAGTTACTTATACTTTCTGAAAATGGAAGCCATTTTTATGCTGACTGAAACTTCAAAGGCCCTTCTTGTGCAACATTTTCCTTTCCTGAGGTGCTTTACTCTGCAGTAACAAAATGATCCCAGATGCAATAGAGCCACCTGTCCACCCTGACGAACTATAGCACTGTTGTGCAGCTTGTGCCACAGGATGTTGAGAATGAAAGAGGCATGTGTTTCAGTACCACATCTGCAGACATAGAGAAGGTGGTGGAGGAGGAGCTTATCTCAAGGTTGCCATCTCCAGGTGTTCAGGCAGACTTTAGGAGTCAACAGGGTCTAGAAGTGCTAGGGAGACATGGGAAAAAAGCCAGAGCCTGGTCTGATCCTTGAACCCATCCTGCAGAGTCGGGAGAGAAGGGCTAGCCAGCTAGAGGGCATGCATACAGCTAGGAGCCTTGCCTGCCTCCAGACGCGGGGTCCAGGGTTACTCAGAAGGAGGGCTCTTAGAAATAGTTTCTACTACTCTATGTATGCCTAAGAAGCTGACATCACTTAAATAATGCTTTTCGCAGCACACCGCTGCAATAATGAAAAAGCTTCACATCTGAATTAAAAGATGCAGAAATCCTAGAATAACAGCTATAGTAGTAATAGTAATAGGCAAAATTGCCCTCTCTGTACTGCTGAAATAGGGTATAATTATGGCAAACTCCAAATATAGCAAAGGATAAACTATTCATATTTGCTAAATTTATGGAAGGTTATGCTTGCACTTCCATATGTTCACAACAAGATGTAAAATGGTTGATATGGGTATAGGCTCTTCTGCATGATCAGGAACCCTGAGCAAGGTTTCCCTGTATGCATACAGCTTTATATAAATGGAAATCCTTTCACACATTCCACAGATCGAAATGAAACTGGTCAAAAGGGTAAGCAGGCAAAATTCCCCTCACTGAGTCCACTAGACACTCACATTGAAAGTGAAATCAGAGCAGATGTCACACGCTCATATGACTACAGTGAGATGACTACAGTGAGAAGAATTGGTGATATTAATTAGTCTGAAGTCATTCAGAAATTATGACTGACATTCCAGTTGTGAATGGTAATATGATGGAACCATCTGATGGAGCCATTCCATCAAAAATATTTCATTTATTGTTACATAAAAAGCACACACAGACGGCCATGTGCTGGTACATAAAAAATGATTCCAAAATCTACATTTTGATTTTGGTCCTTTATTATGACCAACCAAAATATCACAAAATATTGAGTGAGTGTTCTGGAGTATTCTTTATCAGGCTAGCGGGTATAAATGTGGTATGATAAAATATGAACAAGATAATATGATATGAAAATATGATAAATGAATGAAGATACTCTTCATCAGGCTAGAGGATAGCTTCTGTATAGCCTGAAGTGCCTGAACCTGCCTAATCTTGGAAACTAAGCACGGTTGGGCCTGGCCGAAATCTGGATGGGTGACTTATATGTTGTGAACCACCCAGAGAGCTTTGGTTATTGGTGGTATGGAAACGTAATGAGTGGTCAGATAGAACGGGGATAACAAATTAAAATCAGTAGCTTAAATGGTCATGAGGTCTGCATTCGGAAACAGTCTCAAGATAGAATCTACAGACTGAACGTAATATAGCTTAAGGAAGCATTCTGGAGAATTCAGTGGCTTTTGTGGATTGTTGGTTAGTTCTAATAAATATGGATTATGGATTTTTCAGTATTATATCTAGAAATAGCAACACAAATTTTTAAAAGCAGTGTGGACAAACAAACTTATATTTTAAAGACATGACTAAAGCAAATCAAGATTATATGAGAAAATTCTGTATTTCCTTCAAAAATACCAGTATGTTTACACAGTGATTTTTAACATAGAGGGGGAAAGGAAAGAAAAATAGACTCTATACCAGAAGAGGATATACTAAATTATCTAGTTTATTTAAAAAAGAGACATTTGTTCAAAAACAGCAAAGATGACAACAGACATTTGGCAATAGCCCTGTTCTGAAGTGATCCTAGAACATTTTAGAGTAGTTTTCTAAAGGGAACTTGACAATTTACTTACAGCTTGCACACTGCCACTTAGGAGCATCATCAGTCCCAGGAGTACTGTAACTTGTATAACCCTACACAGAAAAGGCAAACATTGTCATTAGAATGTATAATGTACCAAAAGCAGCCACAGCACTATTTTCATTGTCAGGAAAGCACTAAAGTGTTTTTATTTATTCTTTTCTTACTAAATGGTTGAAGAAAATACACTAGAGTAACAACTTTGAGAAAGCTGACTACTTACTGGCCTGTCAGGAATTGTAAATAGCGGTGCTGTGAACTCCTCATGTTTGCTTCTTTCTTCTTGCTGTGACCAGCAAGCTATTCTAGAAAACAGACAGGAAGAATACACATACTTCATTCTGAGATCAGCAGAAATAGTTTTGCTAAAATAAATAGTTTTTATTTTAAAGGGCCTCACACCAGGGCAACCAGGGCTGAGCAGCAGGTACTGCTGGGCAGAACACGGTTCCCGGAGCCTCCACCTTCCTCGACCTGCTGATCCCTTCGTCTGGCCAGCAGCGCCTCTCCGCCGCTGCAGCCCCACAGGGAGAATCAGGTGCTTGGCTTCGCGGGGTCCCTTCTCCCGCCGCCGCGGCCCCGCGCGTGGCAGCAAGGGGAACGGCACTGGAGACGCGCGCTGCAAGGGCTGCCCGCGCAGCAGAGGGACGCTGCGGGAGCGGGGAGCCTGGCGACACGAGGTCCGCCGTCCGTTCGTGCGGACGAGGCCCTGGCCCCGCAGGTACTCACCCACCACTTTCAGGCAGAGCACATGCTCCCTTCGAGCCGTCGACAGTGCGGAGAAACGGCGGCCTGGAGCGCCGACCGAGCTGCGGCTGGAGCTTTACTTGGCCCGCCCGACGCCTCTGGCCGTCGCGCCCTCCAGGGAGGAGAGGCGGGAGAGGTGTGGCCGACGCTGCCGCCCACGGACAGGCTGAGCACTGAGCTAGCCTGTCTGGCTTTAGAGGCGCCCGAGCCTGGGCGCGGGAGAAGAGCAGTGCGGATTGGGCTCGCCGGCAGGGCGCCGTGAGCATCCCGCAAAGGAATCGCGCTCCCTCCGCGAGAATGGGAAACTGCCGGTCGTGGACGGGACTCACGCTCCTGTTCGCCGCGCTCCTGCTCGGCCCAAGGCGGCGCCTGACGGCGGAGGCGGCAGCGGTAAGTACGCATGTCCTGATCCCGGTCAGGGTCCGGGTCCCGGTCCTCTTCCCTTCCCCTCCTCCCCTCCCGCTTACTCCACTAGCACGCCCTTGGGAGCGCCATTACGCGGATGGGGAGATGGATTTCTTCGAGGGAAAACGGTCTTGAAAGCTTCAGCCGGGACATGTTTTCCCCAATCCCGGTACAAGTTGCCGCCCTGTTATTTCCCAACAGCAGCGCTTTTGCGGAGTCTCACCCTCTGCAGTCGGTGACTTCCCGCGCTCATGAGTTCAGCCCTGTTGAAGCTCCATCATGGGCTCAAGAGCCTGCCATATAATGTGGGTGTCTTTCAGATGTCTTTTACTCTCTGTCACCCAGAGAGCTTTGGCTACGGGTGGTATAGAAATGTAACTGATAATGATGAGATAGAGGCAGTGATAGATCTATTTAAGTTGCAGAATGCGTGAGAACAAATGGATCAATACAGAGGGCTGGAGTGGTGTGGCAGTTAGGATGTTGGGCTGGGGACCTGGAAGCACCGAGTTCTGGCCCTGCTCAGCGGTGCAGCTCACTGGATGACTTTGGCCCAGTCATAGACTCTAAGCCCAACCTTCCGCAGGGCTGTTGCTGTGTGAATGAAGTGGAACTGTGTAAATTCGCCCTAGTTCCTTGCAAGAGAAAAAAAGGAGGGATATAAATATATCATGATAATAGTGTTTGCTATTAGAGGAATAGAGGTGTACTAGTAATCTATCTTGTGGACAAATGTGCACACACCGGAACACTTACATATTCTTGATTTTTTTTAAAAAATGTATGTAATGTGTTTCCTTCAGACATGTTTCCAAGGCCTTTGTAATATGAATTGATATAGCCTTCTACAATTTTTTGAGGCACTGAACCAATTTTTCATTGTCTGAACTTGTCTGGAAACAATCAGTTCAATGTTGGTACATGTTTGAGAATTTGCCAAGTTACTAGTTAACTAAGTTAATTCAAGTTGATTTCACAGTATCAAAACGATCCCAAAAAAGGCCATGAGTGAACACACAAATGCATGCACGCAGAAAGTTGTGGAATAGCTGTAACTAACTCAATTCATAATTTTCAATTTGGGAGGTGGTATCTGATGTCTAGAGAATGGTAATAGCCTGGATTAGAAGATGCAAAATCGGTCCTGAGAAGAAGTAGATTGTGGTTTATCTGCAGTGATTATCAAACTGTTCTGCATGGGGTTGCATTAAACACTGCCAGTAGTGGCCCAGGTGAGCTTCTGACTGGAAGGCTACTGCTATCTAAACAACATTGTTCCTGGTGTCTAGCCTGTGTCTGGTGTATTGCAGTTTAACTTCATTGTTACACGCAGGGATGAGTGAGAAGTGGTCTTTTTCTTCATCTTTGTGACAGCTTTTGAGGTACTTGTAGAATGTTATTTCTCAAACCTATATGCCTAGCTCTCTCAGCCTCTCCTCAGAGGGCTTAGTTTCTAGATCCAGATGATCTTGAGGCCCTCCTCCGAACCCTTTCTAGTTTTTCTGCATCTTTTAAAAACCTGGGTGCCCAGAACTGAGCACAGTATTACAGGTGTGCTCTGACATGTGCTGCCAAACTGCAGCATACCAGATTCAGGCTAGACACAAGGAAAAGCTTCCAAAATATCAGAGCAGTACAGCAGTGGAACCAGTTGCCAGAAGAAGTCATGGGGTTTCCCACACTAGAGACATTCAAGGTGAAACTGAACAGTCCTTTGAGTGGGATGAGACTTGCCATCCTCAGCAGTAGGAGGCTGGACCCAATGTCCTCCATGGCCCTTTACAACCCTGCTATTTTATGAATCTATGGATCCATTTTTTCCTCCCTAATGTTCCCACATCCCCATAAGAAGAAAAAAATGCAAGCTGCAGTGGGAAAATAAGGGGGAATTACAAATTGGGGATGTTATCAGAGCCCCTGTGCAATTCTGCGGACAATGCAAAGTGATTGCATAGTAAAATTTTGTGTGGAAGTACCCAAGTGCCTTGTATGACATGCAGTGTCTTCCACCAATTAAGATACACAGTTACAGCCTCTTCTGGAGAGAGAGGGGAAGAGAGAGACTGGCCATGCCTTTGGGGATGGGGGTGGAATTCAGAAATGTCAGTTGGTTTAAAATAGAGTAGCTAGGCCACTTCTGAGAACAGGAGCATTTCTCATCAGTTGTTGAACAATGGCACTGAATGTTGTTTTTTTCCCAAGCATTGTGATCAGTATTCACTGTGATCACAGTATTGGTGATCATTGTTAAGCCCTAACTAAACAGCTTTGGACCAAAGTCCCTTAAGGATTATTTTCTACCATGCATGTATTATAACAGGTTTCCCTCAAGCCCCTGGTGAATCTACTCACCGTCTAAAGAACAGGTGGGTGATGAGAGAGCACAAGGCTTTCTTACTTGTGTTCTCCCCAGGAAGGTTCACTTGATGCCAGTTACAAGTATATAGTGAAGCTGGTGTTGTTTTGTTTGTTCTGCTGCATTTTGCTGCTGTTTGCTGCAGATTTTAACACTGATTTTATTGTTTGCAATATTTTATCTTGATTATGTGAGCCACTATTGGAGTTCTTTAAAATTGGAATATAGCATATAAGTTTACTACAGGGGTCCTCAAACTTTTTCAACAGGGGGCCAGTTGAAAGGTGGTGGCTGCGGTGGCCGCAGGCCGGCGAGATGGCGGCGGGTGTGGGCTGGAGAGGTGGCGGCAGCAAAGCGGCAGCAAGCACAGCGAGGTGGCGGTGGTGGTGGGCGCAGTGAGGCAGCAGCAGTGGCGGTGCGGGCACCGCGAGGCAGCGGGTGTGGGTGTGGTGAGGTGGCGGCGGGTGCAGCAAGGCAGTGGGCGCGGTTGCAGGAGCACTTGTGTAGAATTGCAGCCACCCCCCCCCCCGAGCATGATTGCAATTGTGACCATCTCCCCCCACCAGCACCATCGTATTGGGAAGACAGGCGCACTTGTGCAGGGAAGGTGGATGCAATTGAAGCCATCTCCCCCCACAACATGATTGCTGCCATCTCCCCCCCCCAAGCATGACCATGATCATGCTCATCTTCCCTGCACAAGTGCGCCTGCGATCGTGCCCGCCTTCCCACTGAATACACCTATGCCAGCTCCGAGCTTTTGGATTCACTTGGAGATTGTTTTCTTCGAGCAAGTCCAAAAGCTCTGAGGTGGGCCAGATAAATGGGCATGACGAGCCAGATTTGGCCTGCGGGCTGTTGTTTGAGGACCCATGGTTTATTAAATAGGTAAATAATACTTAAAAGCAGCTTACTTAAAAATTGTTTTATCTCTTATACAGTTCTATAGTTTTGGTGATCACTGAAATGTATTAATTGGCAAGTGGAATGCAACAGCCTTTCTTGATCATTAAAAATGTAATGATCAAGCTTTTGAAGCCAGACATCTGTGAAAATTGTTTCCCTGATATCTGTCAACACCTATTAGAGCACACACTGCAGTACATAATAACAGAGCGAGTCAGAAGGGGTCTCCCAGGCCATCTAGTCTGACCCAAGGCTCTAGCCGGCTCATCTGCATGTACAAGCTATCCTTGAACAAACTCACTGATGGGGCTTCAGTCACCTCCCATGGAAGCCCATTCCATACCCTTGGGGTCCTTAATGCCAGGAAGTACTTTCTGGTATCCAAATGGAACCTTGGTTCCCTGAGCTTTGCTCCATTGGAGCGCATCCTGCCTTCCTCTGCAGGGGAGAGCAGATCTTTACTCAACTCTGTGTGACACCCACTCACATACCTGTATGTCGCCAACAGATCCTCTCTGAGTCTTCTCTTCTCCAGGCTGAAAAGACCCAGTTCCCTCAGTCTCACCTCATACTGCTTTCCCTGCAAACCAGTCACTGACCTTGTGGCCCTATACTGCGCTGACTCTAACTTGGCTATATCCTTCCTGTAACGAGGAGCCCAAAAGTGAACACAATACTCCAGTTGCAGGCGCACCAGAGTCATATAAAGTGGTAGTAATACCTCTCTTAATCTAGAAGCCATGCTTCTGGCTATGCAACCAAGGGTGACGTTCGCCCTCTTGACCACTGCATCACACTGCTGACTCATGTTTAACCTGCAGTCAACCAGCACCCTGAGATCCCTTTCACAAGTGCTGCTTTCCAGCCACTTGTCCCCTAACTTGTACTTATGACACCCATTCCTATGGCCTAAGTGCAAGAGCATCCACTTATCCACATTGAACGCCATCCTGTTGTCTCCTGCCCACTTCCATAGTCTGTCCAGATCCTTTTGGATCTGGAGCACCTGCTCCTCAGTTGTGGCCACTGCTCCAGTTTTAGTATCGCCTGCAAATTTGATCAGCAGACTCTTCACCCCTTCTTCCAAGTCATTTATAAAAAGATTAAACAGGATCGGCCCCAGGACAGAGCCCTGGGGGACCCCGCTTGTCACTGGCTGTCGTACCAATGATTCCCCACTAATGGTTACCCTCTGCTTTTGGTTGGTCAACCATGCCCTAATCTATCAGACAGTGCATTGGTCTATCTCAAAACTCCTCAGTTTCTTAACCAGGATATCATGGGGCATTTTGTCAAAGGCCTTGCTGAAATCCAGGTAAACCACATCCACTCTGTCCCTTCTGTCTAGCCACCTTGAAACCTTGTCATAGAATTTCACAAGGCTTGCCTGGCAGGACCTGTTATTGCGGAAGCCGTGTTGCGTGGCCGCCAGCCTCCCTTCCCTATCTAGCATCACTTAATCTCTAGCTATTATGAGCCTTTCCATTGTTTTTCCTACAATGGACGTAAGGCTAACTGGTCTTTACTTCTCCATGTCCCTTCTACTACCCTTTTTGAAAATTGGGAAACTGACGCCACCCTCCAGTCCCCTGGAACTTCACCCATTCTCCATGAGGCCTCAAAAATAGAGGACAGCAGGCATGAGAGAACCCCTGCCAACTTGCAAAGTACTCTTGGTTGTAACCCATCAGGGCCTGGTGCCTTTGTAATGTCCAGTGCCCTG